GCATTTTCTTCTCTCACATTTCTCACTTGTGGAAATCCCTTCCAGCTCCATGCTTTCCAGCTAACTTTAATTTTCAAGAATTTAAATGCAATGTCAATCACTATCTACTGTCTTCCTGATTATTCTTTCTGTTCCTGCTCATTAGTAATGTTTCTAATTCTACCTTGCATGAAGTGAAATCAATAATATATATATATATATATATATATATATAATATAAAAGGCTTAAACACTAATATTCCATGGTTATAATTTATTACATTGGAATCATAATCACGATCCAATTCATCAGACCTACAAATTCAAAAAGAAATCGGAAAATGTAACTCTGGGTATAAAAATCAAAATTTTAGTGAGAGTGTATGTATGTGTGAGAGTGAAATTTATGAAAGCTCTAGAGAGGGGTAACAGAAGAAAGAAGAACAGGAAGGCCTAGAGGTGAAGGTGGGGATTAAAATTTAACAGAGAGAAGTTTTAAAGAGAGGTGTTAAATAACGGTTTAAATAAAATATGAATTATTTTTTGATACATAATTCACTACCGATTCACTGACCTAAAATTAAAATTAAAAAACAGACACCGGAAATGTGTGGTGACACTATGCACAATAAAAAACGATATGATCTAAACTTAAAATCCAGAAGATTAGAGAGTGGTAAAAAATAATATATATATATAAGACAGTGTATTTTTTTTTTTGGGTTCAATGATCAGATGTTCAGGGAGGGGATGGTACACACTCTGGCCATGCCACTGATTATAACCATTAAAGCAAACTACTTAGGAATATCCAGAAAGAAGAACAGGAAGGCCTAAAGGTGAAGGTGGGGATTAAAATTTAATTTGCTTAGTTAATTATTATCATGAACACAATGGCTACTGATTTTTTATGTTGAATCTTTCGCAGTAAAATAATAAATTTCATTCCAAATGATATCTGTCTCCTCATCCTAAATACTGCTGTTTTCAAACCACTGAAAATAACATGAAAAAAGAACCTCTAATCTAATTGTTCTCAATCTCTATGTCCATTGCCAATATAATATCTGTAAATCATACATTTGATTTTGCTTGATTACAGATGGCAAATGATGGATATTAATGAATTATAGATCACCCTTCCAGTACCTCATAAATAATGGACTATTCCAATTTGATCTTGTGAAAAGACATATCAGAGATGTTTCAGTGAGAAAATAAAAGAAAGAAGGGAAGATAAAAGTGTTTAACAGCTGGTTCAGTGAAATGGAAAAAGTTATCAATTTCAAATCTTTTCATTTGTATCCCCTTACTTCTTAAAATAATGTCCAGCATTCATATTTATGATTGTTATTCAATATTTTATTAAAGCTATTAAGTTCAAATATTTAACAATGCAGTAGGAGAATTTCTACAGATATTTTATTGTTGTAGAACTCATCATGAGCTTATTCAATCATTAACTTAAGAATTAAGATACATCAGAAAATTTAATTAGAAAAACTGTGGAATTTTCATGGGTATTTCTAGTGAGCCTATAATTTGATATCAGATTTTTATTTTAACATTTGTAAGTAACCCATATCTGTCATGCTAGACAATATTTTCATCAGAATTTATGTTACACCTTTGTAAGTTTACTTAAGTTTACTGCTACACTCCTCTCTGCCTTCCATCAGCATGGCTGTTGCTAACCTTCAGCAAAGTGGTTCATTGCTATTTTTGGGCTATTGTTCTCAGCTGACATGGAGGGGAAAGACTATATTGAATCCATTGCCAGATCAGCTGCTAAGAAGGTTGGTTTACTGTGTCATGCAAGACAATTTTTCTCTCCCCAATCTATCTTACATATCTATGTCTACCATTTGTCCATGCTTAGAATATTGCTGCAACATATTGTCCAGTGTCCCTGCAATTTACCTTGAGCTCCTTGATAAGATCCAAAGAAAAATCAGCAATATTATTGGTCCTGACCTGGCAGCTTGGCTTTCCTAACACTGTAAGGTCGCCTCTCTGTGTCTTTTCTATAAATACATTCATGGTGATGAGCTCTTTGCTATGGTACCTAGACTTTTTGAATTTAAGCACAGTACTAGATTGGCATCAAGATCTCATCAATTTACAGTTGAGCTGGCTAGATGTAGCCATAGGTTCTATGCTAACAGTTTTTTTTCTCATACTTCTTGCCTATGGAACTCCCTTCCAGCTCCATGTTTTCCAGCCAACTTTAATCTGCAAAAATTTAAATGCAATGTCAATCTCTATTCATTGTCCTCATGATTACTCTTTTCTCTTTCTGCTTATTATTAATGTTTCTGTTTCTAATTCTTCCACACCCTGTAACCCCTGGTATCTTAAGGACTTTGCGTGGGGTGATGCTGGTTAAAAATTAAAAAATAATAAAGATGACACACAAAACTCCTACAAAATGTAGTGAATGAATGCTAGCTGAAAGGACTAAACATCAATTGCAAGAAGACAGAATGCATGGTTGTTAGCAAAATGGAAGAGACCAACATGCAAATTACAAATTGGAGATACCAAAATCAAACAAGTACAACAATATCTAGGAAGTGTTTTAATAAATGTTGGAAAGTGCAACACTGATATCTGAAGACACATTGAGATATTTGCAGTTGCCTTCCAAAAGCTAAGCAAAGTATTAAGAAATAGGACAATTTCAGAATTACATTAAAATTTATTGGTGGCCACAATCTTAACAACATAAAATATGCAGTTGAGACAGTATTAATAGCAAACACGGAAAGGAAACAAGAATTTCTCCAGAAGGTAGTGAAGAAGAGGAAGGGATTAAAACATCAATTGCAAGAAGATAGAATGCATAGTTGTTAGCAAAAGGGATGAGACCAACATGCAGATTATAAATTGGAGATACCAAAATCAAACAAGTAAAAAAATTTAAATATCTGGGAAGTGTTTGAACAGAGGACAGTAATTGTGACACTGAAATTCAAAGATGAATTAGGATGCAAAAATGTCTTCCAAAAGCTAAGCAAAGTATTAAGAAATAGGAAAATTTTACTGAAATGTTTTGGACAGAACTGTTATGTACACAGGTTGGATGAAAAGTTCATAGGCTGACCAAGATATAAATGTAAGTAGACACATCAGTTGGTAGGCTAAAAGACATGCAAGTGTACCAGAATTTACATTTATACATTTATATCTTGATCAGCCTATGAACTTCTGACCCTCATAATATTAGTCCTCCTATATGGCAGTGAATGATGAACAATCTCCTCTCAGATGAAGAAGAGTTTTAAAGCAATAGAAATATGATTCTTTCTCTGCTGAGAATACTGTGGACAAAACATGTGAGCAACGACAAAGGTTTAAGGAAAATGGAAACAAAAAGGACACAGAAAGAGATATTTGAAATTTCATGAGCACATAATGAGGAAAATGGGCTTGGAAAATTTGATGCTCACAGGACAGATTGAAGGCAAGAGGGTTAGAGGAAAACAATGCATAACCTACCTCATGAGCTAGAGTAAATGGATAGTGGAACAAGGGGAGATAACAAAAAGATAAAATTTATTTAGAGCTACAAACATCAATAAATTGTAGAGAGCCATGATCGCCAACGACCTGAAGGGACATGGCATATAGAAGAAAAAAATTACCATTTGTACATTATGGTGATGTTATGCATGATGACATGCAGGCAACGTTTGTGACTGGATTAAACGTATCAGTTATCTGATTAGTTTTGGGATTTCATAATTAAAGTTTTAAAAATTTGAAGTTATTTTTAAAATTCATTTTATATCGTAGACACATATTGCTTATGGATATTTGCCATTGCTTAGTTAATTATTATCATGAACACAAATAGCAATTTCATTGAACAGATGACACGTTAACTGATGTGCTAGGGTGGAAGATTTGTGTCCAATATATGAATTTGATGCTTGTATATCATAGAAGATACAACCAATTTCAATGAGCAAGAACATTCATAGATGATATTAATAGATTTTTCTTTATTGGGTGTTCCCCAATTTTTATCAGAAACCATTATTGTTTTTTTTGTTTCATTTTCTATGACTTATCAACCTTTTTGCAGATTATTTAAAGACAGAAAATATTGAAAATATCTAGGTGTCTCACATGAAAGGTTTGAACAAATAAGATTGCATCTTAAGAAATGTAGGTGTAAATGAACTCATTAAATGGTTCTTTTTGCTTCAGAACTAATTTTGTCTAAATGCAGGTAAACATTTTATTTGTATAAATTGTTAAAACGACTAAGGGAAGTAATCACTAATAAATTTACAAACTTAAGTTGATTTACCTCTCTTCCTACTACAGATGGGACAGGAAATATATAAATACGCAAGAAATATATAATTAAATACACATTGATAATTATTATATGGTTGAATTTAACATAAATATTTGAAAATTTTACCAACATCGGTTGGGTCATAATTGTTTTATTGCATAAACATTGACTTGCATAATAAAATATGACATAGTTTATTAATTCAATGGGGATCAATTTATTACTTAATAACAATATAAAACTGATCCTGCAATTTATGTTCAGTAGACATATAGATATTTAATGTAAATATATTTTCAAACTTTTTCCTACATAGGTTGGTTATAAGTTTTATTGTGAAAACATTGACTTGCATAGAAAATCTGACATAGTTTAGTCATTATAGAGGGATCAGGTTATTACTTAATAGCAATAGAAAACCGATCCCCCACTTTATTTGCTGTAGAAATTGATAACATTGATTGATTCGTTTTCTACGGTTTATCAACCCTATGCAGGTTATTTAAAGCCAGATTGTAAGAATTTGTTTTTTTTTTTAATAATAATGATTTAGTGATACGGTCTTACTAGTTAACCCATAGCTGGAGTAGAAGAGATGAATTTTTACCTTTCCCAAAGGCATTTGTTCATAAGTGAATATAACGAATCCAACGGGAATTGGAACTCGGCTCTCCGATTAACAATTCAGACCCATTATCCATTACACCATCCATGCTTACAGAACCTAGTATTCCTAAGCGGTCACCAACCTAGGTACTAACCAGTCTCGACGTTGCTTAACTTTTGTGATCGTCCAGGGACCGGTGTTTCAATGTCATATGACCGTAAGCCTAGAAACCACTAGATATAGAAGTTACTGTAACTGTTCCGGTGACCAAGAACAGTACACAAAAAGTGCCATGTTAACCATGGTGATGTAATGAGGATGTAAATATCTGTGAAAAGATTAACTGATATATTGGCGATTGGGTCGCTGAAATGAATAATGATTAATTTGGTCTAAGGCAATCCAAAAGACCTAGCAACCATACCTCTGACTGTAGGTTGATTCTCTTAGTCTTAAATTACATCTAACCTAACATTATTTAAAAAAATCTTTTAGCAAGAGACGTATTAGTGATATCTATATTGGGAATACCATAGACCGAACATGTGAGCAATGACGAAGTTCTAGAGACAATGGAAACAATAAGGACACTTATACTTCGCATTAGAAAAAAAAAACAGTTGAAATCTCTAAGACACATAATGAGGAAAGGGGGCTTGGAAAATGTGATACTCACTGTTCAGATTGAATGTAAGAGAGACAGAGGAAAGAAACGCATAATCTACCTGGCGATCTTGAGTGAAAGGATGACAGAACAGGGTTTCAGAGAGGTGGCAATCAGACAAAATTTATTAAATACTACAAAGGCGGGAAAATTGTGGAAAGCCTAAAAAGATTTTATATAGAACGGTACAATAAAATATCATACAAAATGTTATTTACCTGGCATCTCAGCTTCAGTCAATTTACCGTCGCCGTAATGTAGCTTCCCTGTGGCATTTCTATAAATACTTTCATGCTAACGGTTCTGATGAACTTTGCTCAATGGTACCTAGACATTGGAAATCTCTTCCGGCTTCTTGCTTCCCAGTTTTAAAGCAATTTAAATGCAATATCAATCGTTATTTCTGTCTTAATTTCTTTCTTTTTTTAATAGTATTTTTTCAGTACTCAGTATGACCCATATAACGTCTTGGTTGGTTTTATTGCCTTGCATGTGGTGAAATGATTAAAAAAAAAAGCTAGTATAATTTAATCCCTATTGATCGGACTATGAGTTTTCTCCCGTCAAGATGGCCAGTTGAACTCACAACGAGGCTCCAGGCTTTGATCGTCTCCTGGGAATCAAGTTCATCCAAAAACCTCAAGTGGAAACATATTCGATCCATCGCAAAATATAGTGTAAAAACGGTCGGGTCATTCTATCGCTTCTGCCATGCTTTGGAAAAAAAGTTAAATAAAAAAAATTGGTGTATTGCAGGTATATCTGGGCTGGAACTGTTCAATTCTCACTTTCCAACCTTGATAAAGTTCAAACTCATTTACGCAATTTTGTAGGAAATGACCAATAAGAAAAGCTAATTTCGGACTGAAAGCCTCTAATTCAAACTTCAAAGGATTTAACCAATAACCCACAAGTTACTATAGTTTGAAAAGAAATGTCTTTCTTAGATTTATGAGCCAATCAGAATGATTCTAAAAAATCAGCTTAATCTTTCTATAAGCAAAGCTGTCCACCAGTAGATACAGAGTCAAGTTCGTTCATTTGTCTTCGTGAGCTGTACACACGTGCGTGTGTTCACACACGTACATGCACTTTTTTACGAAACACACAGGTCGTCCAGTCAGAGTCAATTGTCCATTTTGTAACATATGCATACCTGTATGGTATCCGTCGGTTTAGAGAAATCATGCATCTGCGCAGGCTTGGGTGCGGTTTAATGAGAGATTAGCAGTTGCCCATGCAGAACGTCTCCTCTTTCCACACCACCGATGTTGTCCAAGGGAAAGGCACAAACCAAACTGTCTTGGTCTCTGCTTTGCCATTGGACAACAAGCAGGAGTTGCCAGAAGGAAATTGAACATGACATCGGACTGTCTTAGAGACTCCAGCTCTGGATTTGAATTCAGAGTTGTCCTAGACTGGTTGCCATCCAAGTCTACAGAGCCCAGACTGTCCTACTATTTGCCCATGGTTGGAGGTTTTGAATTCAGAGTTTTAGATTATAGAACCCGGTCTGTCCTGCTATTTAAATGGATCCATGACAGATGGATTCATACCTTTCCCAAGCCCGTAAGTAAATGTAATGAACTCGACTGGAATACGAACTCTGCTCTCCGATTCCTCAAGCCGAGCCGCAAATTCATTATTTCACCTCATAAGCACATAAATATATTCACAGCGTTAGTATGGTTTGCTTTCTTTAGCGACTGATTGGATTTTCTTCAGCGACTGGTTGTAATTTATTGTCTAATAAAAAAACACAACCATCATTGCTTGATTTTAAGTTGGAACCGTTGGAGATTGAAGAAAGTTTATGGGCCATCATATACTTTCTTATATTCGACATATGTTATTTGTCTTTTTCTATGCCTGTACTTACTTGCAAGCAACTGATTTTTTTTTAAAAAGTAACTATTTCTACTGATAGTCATTTAATCCATCACGATACATTGCTGCAATGCATAAATAAATGCCATTATATTTGGATTTGTTGCGCAAAACTTTCGAGTTGATTCATGGAGTAAAATTATTGCCTAGAAATTCAGTGGCTACGAGCTTAAACTTGATTAATCTAGGAAAGTAATTTTTATTTATATAATATCACTATCCCATAATATCTCTATACCATAATAGTCGTTATACTAAGAGTATGACGTGTATACATGCAAATATCCTGGGATACAGTCGTAATAAATAATTCCACTTTAAAAATAGAATGTGTAGTATCGTATGCAAATTATATAGACAAGTATAAATAGAGAACAACTGGCGAATATAGGGTGGCTATGCCTAGCAAACTCAGTTGCTATTCAGGACACAGAGAACTGTACTACGACTACTACTACGCAGAGAGATAGCACAACATAAGAGAATGGTTTCTTGTTTTTCTATGTGCTGTGTCTCTTCTGGGCGTTGGCGATTATGGCTCTCCATAATTTCTTGTGCTGTGTAGCTCTTAATAAATTTCGTGTTTTTGTTATCTTTCCTAAACCTTGCTCAGGGCCGGTGCGTACTACTCCCGGGACCCCTAACTAGACAGAATCAAACCTGTTTGGAGCCCAGGCAGTTCTTTGTGACTCACGCTATCTTATCAATATTTGCCTTTTTCTACCTACATTTATATACGTTAAAAAACAAACTAAGAACAACTGATATGTAAAGAGTTAATTTTTTTTTCGGATTTTCACGTCATTTTGGGGCCTTTTTTGTCCAAATCAAAGAACGCTATATAGAATTTACTATATTTTATTGATAATGTTGAATGTGTTAAAATTCAACATTTAACAAGAAAAATCTACAGATGATGTTAAAAAATGCCATAAAAGATTGTTGAATTTTTTTAGATGGAATTGAGTTGTCTTATGACATGCCACTAATTAGTATTTAGAAAAAGGGTGAGAAGACTTTCGTGAGGCGAAAGGTCAATAAATAGGGGATAATGACACTAGGACGCAAGCGTTTATTGGGACCGAAAGAGAATGAGAAAACTTTTGTGAAGAGAAAGGACAGTAAAGAGGGGATAATGACACTAGGGAGCAAGTGGTTATTGGGTGTGAAATAGAATGAGAAGACTTTTGTGAGTAGAAACGTCAAAAAAGAGGAGATAGTGACACTAAGGCGAAAGTGGTTATTGGGAGCGAAAGAGTATGAGAAGACTTTCGTGAGGAGAAACGACAATAAAGCGGGAATAATGACACTCAGGCGCATGGGGGTATTGAAAAGAGAGTGAGAAGATTTTCATGAGGAGAAAGGTCGATAAAGAGGGGATAATGACACTAGGACGCAAGGGGTTATTGGGAGCGAAAGATTATGAGAAGTCTTTCGTGAGGAGAAAGGACAATAAGGAAGGGATAATGACACTAGAACGCAAGGGTTTAGTGGGAGTGAAAGAGAATGAGAAGACTTTCGTGTGGAGAAAGGACAATAAAAAGGTGCCAGCTCAGGACCAATAAAATGACAGACCTTTAAAAATTTATATTTCGTTTTCCTCCATTAAAAATATAAAAATCATACCTTTCTAATTAACGTAAACATCACTTTAATTCTAGCGTCTTACGATGATGTTTTTTTCCGTTTTGTCATTAATTTTCCAAATATTTTTATATGTCGAAAAAGTCGAAGTATCTTTCGAGGCCTGTCTAAAAAGTAGTGGGACTGATATCACAAACAATTTATTTACATTCTAAACAACAAACTACATGCTTTTCAAAGTGCTCGCCTCGAATCTAATGCACATTTCCAGCATTCTCTGCCACATTTCTATGCATTCTTGGAAGCATTCTTCTTGGATGGCCCTCAGCTCCGTCATTATGGTCTTTTCGATAGCCTCCACGTCTTCAAAACTGGTCCCCTTGATGATTTCCTTGAGCTTAGGGAAAAGGAAAAAGTCACGTGGAGCAAGATCAGGCGAATAGTGATGTTGTTCCAGTAAGGTGATGTTCTTCACGGCCAGGAACTGCCGGATGCTCATGGAGATGTGACCATGTGCTTTGTCGTGGTGAAGCTGCCACGATTTGTCCTCTTTGTCGACGTGCTGCTTAATCAAAGGGTTAATTTGAAGGGAAAAACCATGTAATTTGTTGTTTGGCATTGAATGAAATTGTTTGTGACACCAGTTCAGTTACTTTTCAAACAGACCTTGTATGTGTAAACAAATACATGTTTAAATATTCATTAAACAGCATCAGTGCTAGGAACAGAAATAAAGTACAAATTACAGTAGTACTATAGATATAAACACAGGAACCTATTTTTTTGTAAGTAGGAGAGATCATATATATATATATATATATATATATATATATATCAAATCCGTAAGTCACTTTCCCACCCTTGTAATGTCTTACCAGAAAGTGTTTTTTTCTTGTCAGAATCCATTTTGCATATCTATACATCTACCATTCGTCCGTACATTGAATATTGTTGCTATATCTGGTTTGGTGCTCCGGTTATATATCTCGACATTCTCGATAAAACTCAAAGAATGGTCTGTAATTTTATTGGTCCTGACCTGGCATCTCGACTTTAATCCCTTTCCCAGTGGCGTGACATGGCATC